AAGAGGGCAGCGCCTCTAAGTAGGCTCAAGTCCCGCCTCCCCTTCAACAAGGCAGCACAAGAGATTCTCAATTCCACCTCTGAGGACCTCTCCAGAGATGCATAGTTGGCGGCTGCTTGGAAGCAGGAGTGGGAGATAGCAGGGCCCTCCCGCATCCATCGCTACATCTGGGACCTAGGAGATGGCGCCATAGGAGGAGACGACCTACCACGCCGGCAATGGACCACACTAAACCGCCTATGAACTGAGGTCGGTCGCTTCAAAACATCAATGAGGAAGTGGGGCCTGGCAGACAGTTCTGCATGCGAGTGCGGTGACCCTGAACAGACTGCCGAACATATAATAACCACCTGCTCTTTATATAGACCACCCTCGGAAGCCAGCCTCTTCGACTTAGGACGAGAGATGCGGGCATGGCTACACGACACAGAGTTGGACCTCTGACGTTACACGAAAGAAGAAGAGACATTCATGATCACCAGAGGATGAATAAGTCTAACTTCGGTTATTCTCTGTGCCATCAGGAGCTTGACATTTGTGTTTTTGTGTGAAATATCTCAACAACTTTTGCAAGGATCACAATGACATTTGGTGAATACATTCATTTCCCAAGAGGATGAATCTGTTTGGCCTTGTGATCCATTGACATGTTAACTACCAGGAGGTTTTTGGTGCAATATCTTGACAACTATTTGATAGATCGCCAATTTGGTGCTTGGTCAAGCTTAGCTGTACTTCCTTTGATGTTACAAATAGCAAATGTTAGCATGCTAAAACACTACTGATAAGCACAATAACCCCAGTTACATCCAAATGTCCTCAATTTAATTACTGAATTTAGCTATATGTCTAAATGTACAATGCATTTAAATAAGTCTTCCTTTTTTTTTTGGAATGAACACATCTATCGACGATATTAAGATGATGCCTCAAAGTCCCATCGTAACACATTTTAAACATCATAGAGTCTAAAGCTGCTGGCTGAACTGTCTCCGTCTCAGTGTTGTTTCACCTGCTTCTTGTACAAATATATGTGTTCCCTCATCCGCTCTGCTCTCAGCCCCCTCTGCTCCTCAGGTACCAGATCACATCGACATCTGATGAGTTGTAGCAGATATCAGGGCCGCATGTGATGCTCTGCAGGACGTATTTCAGAGGGAGTTGAGGCCGTATTTCACCGTTTCAGGGCTGAGGCGCCGTCATGTATTAATTAAAATCCAAATACCCTGTATTGATTGTGTTATCAGGCTAGTGCAGGCTGGGCCCGGCGTATTGATCCGGCCTGTGATTTATGATCATTTTCAAGAAAAATCCTTTTGTGTGATTATATGAGGAAACAAAGCCTGAGTGAGTATAATTCTTTTAGATGAATTATGTAGCAGGGTCCCGGTGGTAGAGGGGCTAAACAGACTGCCACCCTGAAGCCCCCCAGAGGAGAAATATTGTTAACTTAAAAATTGTTATGATCCAGTTGGTTTCATGGGAAAGTAAATCAAATGAAGCCGATGGCTCCACAGTCGCTACTAACTGAGGCTGCAGCCTGTGGCTCTAACCCCTTTGACTGTTGGATACTCCTTATTTTGGGACTTGACATAATTCCCCAAGCATACTTTAAAGGGTCAGTTCAGCCACATCTTAAGGGCAGCTGTTTTCTTAGTAGAATGGTCGTCCACCAACCGGGGGGTTGTTGGTTTGATCCCCAGCCCCTGGAGTCAACATGTCGAACTGTCCTTGGTCAAGATACTTAACCCCAGATTTTTCCTGATGGCGTGGCCAACAGTTTAGGAGTGTGTGTGAATGTTAGTGTCCCTGAGCAGGGGGCGCCTTATACAGTATCTGCATCTGTATGAATGGGTGAATGCTTATTAAGGGGCTGCAAAGACTTGAAAAGTGAGAAAATCATGTTTTTTGACAAATCATTGGTGACCGCAGCCATAGTATTTTTTTATTTGGTCCACCATCTGATTTCAATGGAGGTGAATGCAATTGTATTATGTATGTTGCTAGAGATTACCATGATATTGGATTACTTTACAAAGGCCTGAATCAAACTCGATCTTGGAAAAAATAATATATCCGCACAGGTAAAGGGAATGTGGGTACACTGAGATCATTACATGCTTCATCACTGTATTGGCACTGGCACTTGCTGCAGATTTTTCCAATATGAACATACATTCTAGTGACTTTTGGTTGGCTCAGGTCAAAACATAATGACTCTTGGTGATGTCACAAATATGTCTTACCAAAAAATAAAAACTGACAGACTGCCAACTGCCCACTCAACCAATGTTTTCCCGACAAATGTCTCTATTGTTGTTGTGCAAATAATGTCTGTTTGGAAGACACTTACAAAGACTTCGGTCCTTTTAAAAGAGATGCCAGATCAGAAAACGCTCACAGGGGTTTTGAATGGAAGGCAATGACAAATGCTTATTTTGTTGTTAAGGTCTCAGGACTACTAAAAAGACTAATTGAATCACACCCTGAATGATAATTTGCATATTTGCTGTCTCAGATAAAGTAAATATTCTAGATGTCTTATACATCCCTTTTATACGTTTCCTCTCAATTCAACTTCACATATTTATTAACTTTGGAAACGTTGGGATCTCCAACAGAATTTGAAATCAAATGTTTGGGTTTGATCAAATGTTTGGCTGCAATGTAGAGTATATCATGATCCACCAATAGGTCAGCACGTCTAAAGAGCTGGAATAACTTTTTTTTATTTAAAGAAATGTGCCCAAACCTCCGTTATAGGCCAGTACACTTGACATGGAAATAATTTCACCTCAGTATGGAGATGTAGAAGTCTCAACGTCTTCCCCTGGACTCTTGTGGTGTCTTTTAGCTTGAGATATCTCTGCAGAGCTTTGCATTTAGCTGCTGGCTGTCCGTCTCAGCGGCCATTAGTTAGGCAGTGGTTCTCAAACTTTTTCTGTCAGGCCCCCCCTTTGGAAAAAAAAAAAAGTTGGGCCCCCCCCAACACAAATAGTCAGGCTCAATGGCAGTGCCAGAGATTTATTTTGGGGGTGCTGTGGGGTAACTTGACGTTTCATAGAGTGCGCTCAAACATTTAGGGTTTCCCATTAATGTACCGGACGCTACAGTGGAATNACGTTTCATAGAGGGTGCTCAAACATTTAGGGTTTCCCATTAATGTACAGGTCGCTACAGTAGAATTTTCTACTGCAACAATCCCCAGGCAAATACACATTGTGACAGTTTCAATGAAGGCTCGAGGCATATAGGTGTAAGCAGGGGTAAAGTGCTGTTTTTATAGGTGGTGTGTGGACCTCACATAGGAGGGTCCGGGGGAAAGCTCCTCCGGGAAGATTTATTTTTAAATATTGAAGTTAGAAGCATCAATCTGGTGCACTTTGAGAGCAAAATGTATCTATGGATACATCTCTCAAGTCAACACCCATTTGAAACAGAACTGTAAACAGATTTACTTTTTTTACCTTTTAAACTGTATTCTTTTTTTACTGTCATATAGTATTTCATACCTGTTTTTCATTTATTCTCTTATTTTTTTATAACTACAATGATGCTATAAACGTGTCCCTCGGAAATAGTTTGTTTACATTAATGGTGACCAAAACGTTTGAGACCCACTGAGATAACTTAGACTAAAGTTAACTATCTAAACACTCCTAAGAGTCCTTTATCTCACTGAGTCTCTCAGTCTGACAGGAGAGGACTCTCCTCCATCTTGTTGTTGAAAAAACTCCTTATACCCGTTAGCGTAGCTCGCTAGCACCAGAAGCTAGCAAACTACGGTCTCCGGTACCGAATCCGGAATACGATACAACGCGGTATAATATCCTTTAATGGCTTACGGTACCTAAGATTTATTATTATCTCTCCGGGATGTAAAATTTTATACTTCTTTATATTCAATCAAAGTCCCCTTTCGGTGAAGGATAGAAAGACCTTTTTTGGATTTATAAGAAGTTTCAGGAGCTCTTTAGGTTTTGAAGCTAGGACCCTTTTTTATATATGATTAAAGGAGAGTTGTTCTGATTGTTTCCCTTACGACCCCAATTTGTCGAGTTTATTTATATTTAGATTTACATAACTTAAAACAAGTATTATGTATCAGCAGATAGTAGAATCATATATATGAATGTTATTGAGTCCACCTGGTGACCGTTGAACGACTCTGTTCTGTACAAACGGCTACTCTCGCTCTCCGCTCAACGATCCTAGCGCTCTTCTGGTGAAACCAATACCCTGTATAGTTACCAAGCTCTATATAGTATATATAAGTGTATGTTTTTTTTTTTTTTGTATATTTAGGATCATTAACACCTCTATGTTTGTTAATAACTAAGCTTTAATACATAGATAATTA